TTTTGGGAGCATCCGAGCAAAGGAATGAATGGAGAACCATGATCGCCGATGTCTGTCGCAGATCTGGCACTGGATGATGATGATGATGTTCCATTCAGTCAACTCGATTGAAGTATGGTCTGTGCTTTGTATTATTTGAACCCTGCACTTTGTACAACTGACATAAAACAAAGAAAAGAAAAAAAAAACCACAATACCACTCACAATGTGTAAGCACCGAGAGTTAGTCAATGACAGATCTGAGCAATGACTATAAATACCAAATTACTACCAGGACCACCATTTGATACCATGATAATATATGGTAACCGCCAAGCGATAAAAATACAAGTAAAAAATAAATAACAACGGTAAAGCATTCATCAACACAACGCTATAGACTTTTAACTTTTAAGTTATATCAGGCATGAACAACAACTAGTTTTAAGCCTCCCCCCCCCCCCCATTTTATTCGTTGTTTTCAAGGACAAAAACGATACAAAGAAATGGTAGCTTGACCTATCCGTTACATATTATGGTTTTGTTCAGATGGTTATATATATATCGATATGAATTTGTCACCTTTCTTTTCGGAACAATGTTCTATGAAGTTGTTACAGCTTGATTTTCCTCCGAATCACATCACCTTACGCCTTACTGCATCACACAAACAAACACATACAAACACACACACACACACACACACACACACACACACACACACACACACACACATATTCTTACACACACACACAAACACACACTCAAACACACAATAAAATAACTTATACACGCCCATGCATATACATGTACGTACATTTTTTTGCATATTGCATATTATGTATGTTAGAATATCAAAAGCGTATATTATAATGGAAATTCACAAGATGTGTTTGTGATTTTATGTACATTTCGGGGGGTTGCAGCTGCCCAGCGAGTCTTTGGTGTTTCCATTAAGAGACATTAATACAGGTACAATTTCATGTAATGGCACTATCCCAAATGACGTGCATTTCGGTGGTATTCTTGCTCAACCATGTTATTAAGTAAGTGAAGTGTACACTAGTCGGATTATGCAGACTATACATAATGTCACTAACGACAATTGAAACCATAGTTTACTGAACTGATGACAGTTTGTCTTAGCTTGATCTGGTGTGGAGAGAGAATATTCGTGTATAATTCACAAATTATGTTGCTGGTAGTTTTTTTTACCATGAATAGGTCCTACATTGAGTAGGCCTATTATTCGGGAGAATTACGAAAAGCAGCGAAAATTATTTTGGGCTCTGGAAAGATGAGAGGGTTCATCATCAAACACTAGAACAGTTATTCCTTTCAAGAATGGGGGTGGGGGGGGGGGGGGGGGTGTAAAATGATAAATAGGGCTTACCTGTTGTCACAAGTAGTATGTTGGCTACTGATCTGATTGTTGGCTTAACAAAAACTGTATCAAGTCAAAAGTACAATTTGTATTATTCTTTCTGAACGTCTACCTGGCTCCATTCATTACGAACCATAGCCCTTTTGCTTTGACTTCCGTTTTCGATCCAAAATACGCAAATCCAACCAGTCTCACGAGTGTGCACTCCGCGTATCGATAGAGACATGTATCGGCCAGCTTTTCAAATGTACTAATCCCAAAATTTTGACACTTTGCAGGTTCGTAATCGGTGGTACTGGTCACATGTATTGGCGAAATTTTTGTCGAAATCCGAATTCTAAATGTTGAAGAATGAAAAAAACAAACAAAAACAAAACAAAACAAAAACCAAAAGAAAAAAATACACGTTGTAGAAACAATCTTTAAAAGAATCAGACACAGTCAAAGTACCTGCTCTAAAGGCCACTTGTATATTATGACAATGACATGTACAAATGACTACTTTTCACTTTCCCCTTAGCGGTATTTAATTTTAAAAAACAAAAAAAAACATTATTATGACACTGCGTAAAACGGCCACTTTTTTTCATCAACAATGGATGGCCATCTTTGATAGGTTCGACTGTATGTTTTCTTCTCTTTCCTGAAAAGAAAGATTAATTTGCTCTCTGGGCTTGCCCATGTTGTCACAGATCTAATCTAGAGTAGCCCTATGATGTCCTGGCCCTCCCCCTCCATCGCCAGCAGACCCGATCTTTTCTTTGCCAGCGGCGTCTTCACCAGCCACAAGCGGAACTCCTCGAGCTCGGAGATGAACACGGGGTCAAAGGTGGCGATCCTGTTGAGGAACTCGGTGCTCCGGAGCGGGTGCAGGGCTTGTCGTCTCAGCCGCTTTTCCGTGAGCACTTCGCGCACGGCGTTGAGGATATCCCCGGCCGTGAACCCTTGAGACACCTGGTGGGAGGGGGGGGGGGGTCAGTTTAGTAGTGAAACCTGTTAAAGACAACCACCCACTGTCGAGGGGAAAAGTGGTCATCGTGAACAGAGGGTTCTCTTGGAGAGTGCCATTATAATACAGTTCCGCTTGCTGTAACTGCCACCTGTATAAAACGATCATCTGTACTATCGGCCTCTTCCCATTTAACCCCTTGCATTTTTTTAACATTATAAGGACAAGGACACGATATAAGACGGCCACCTGTCTAAGATGTCTACTTTTCTTCTCCACAATGGATGGCCGTCTTAAACAAATTCAAATGTTGGAAGGCAAGGTCAAAGGGGGCCGGTTCCGAAATAATTTGGATGATACTCTTTTCTCTTCTCATTCTCCTAAATTTGTTGTTCTTATTTTTTTTTTTACCCCATCCTCATAATCTCCCCCGAAGACGACACCATTTTTCTGTAATCAAAATTGCAGTAATTATTGGAAGTATCATTTCTGTCAAAGGCGCAATCATAAAGTGGGACAAAACCACGGGTTTTACCAACATGGGAACATAAAATAAAATATTGACGACAACAACGAAACATTTGACGTAGCCCCAAAACGGACCTTGGTGAGACTGCTGAGGTCAAACTTGTCGTCCAGGACTCCGCGATAAGCCTTGATGAGCCGCTCCCACAGCTGGTACCGGGAGCTATGCGTGGGCGGGAAGATGAAGATGAGGCGCTGGTACAGCTTCATCATGGGTGCCATGGACGCTTTGAACGGGTATTTCGACGTGCCTTGAGACAATATGGAATATTTCATTTGTGTTCTGAGTTTGTTTTATTAAACATGTATCAAATTTGTTCAGTGTTTTGTGTTTTTAATAATAATGTACCAGGGTGGAAAAAAATTGAGGGTGTATGTGTGTGGTTTGGGGGGGGGGGGGTTCTGGAAAGATAAATTGTGAGATCAAGCAAATGAAACAAAGCGTTAAAGACGGGCAATTTCATTTCTTGTCAGTGATATTATAATCATTATTTTTTAAAGATTACCATGAAAAGGGACAACAACAACGGTTCATCCCCTCTTAAAAAATATACTTGTTAAACTCATACACACATACGCACATATACATATACACACTCATACACGCGCACACACACACA